AACGCCTGCTCTACTTTTATTAGTAAATCTATGATAAAAAATAACAATTTCCCAACCTGGTTTTCTAAAGCTACAAAAATGCTCGTGAAGAAGAAAAATAAGATGTTTGCTAAATTTAGACACACGCATAAAGCAGAACACGTTACTAAGTTCAAACACCTTCGTTCTCTTGTAAAAAATACATTAAAGGTGACTACGCAACATTAATATCAACAACGGAAGAAAACATTAACGTCAACAGTAATAATTTTTGGAAATTTGTTAAATCAGTTAATAACTCAGTTTCTGTTCCTAATTTTGTAACCTACAATAATGTAAGCTCTAATGATCCCCAGCAAATCTGTAACTTGTTTGCCGATTTTTTTGAGGAGGTTTATGTACAACGTTTCCAAACACCAAGTGATAATACCCGTAATTCGACAACGAATTATTCTGAAATTCTCCAAGTGATTAACAATCTTGAAATCAATTTTGATGCTGTTTTCCAAAAACTTGTATCTTTAAAAAATAATTTCAATCCGGGACCTGATGGAATACTAGCTTACTTTTTGAAAATGTGTAGCCCATCTCTTACTCTACCTATAACAATCCTTTTTAAGCAATCATTAAGGTCGGATTTGTGCCCAGTCCGTTGGAAGTCATCGTTTATCGTACCAATTCACAAATCGGGATCAAAAACTGATGTTAAAAATTATCGTCCAGTTTGTATTATTTCATCATTATGTAAGGTTCTTGAATCCATTATAGCTGATAAACTTCTCGATACTTACTATAATATCCTTTCCACTAAACAGCATGGTTTTATGCCTAAGCGCAGTACACTGACAAATCTCTCAATTTATAGTAATTATATCTCAAACTCATTAGAAAGAGGTTACCAGGTGGACTCCATTTATACGGATTTTAGTAAGGCCTTCAATCGCGTTGATATAAATCTTTTGTTAATCAAACTTAAGCACTATGGTATTGTAGGTAATTTACTTTCATGGATTTCTTCTTACCTAAATGGCAGAACGCAGACCGTTCGTATCAGTGGACTGTTCTCTCATGAAATAAAAACAACATCCGGTGTTCCTCAGGGTAGCCACTTGGGCTTTTTCTGCTTTTCGTTAATGACATAACTCACATTTTTAAGTATTGCCAATTCTTACTGTTTGCCGACGATCTGAAGCTCTACATGGAAGTTCGCTCGGAGCTAGATGTTCTTAAAATTCAATCTGACTTCAACTTGGTGTGATTTGAACAACTTACTAATTAATTATGACAAATGTAAAATTATTACGTTCCATAAATGCAAGAATCCGATAAGCGTCTGATACTGTTTATGTGATAACGAGATATTGAGAGTTGAAACGGTTAAGGATCTTGGTGTAGTGTTTGACAAATCTTATACGTTCGAGTACCACATAGAAAGTATTCTCAATAAAGCTATGAGAATGTGTGGATTTGTTAAACGTCAATGCAAAGATTTTAAAAATATACCGGTCGTAATTAAGTTGTACTGTGCATTTGTGAGATCGTCACTGGAATATTGTAGTCTTGTGTGGGATCTTTATTATTCGTGTTCAAATATGCGGTTAGAGAGAGTGCAAAGGAAGTTTGTCAATTTTTTACTTTTTAAACTCAACATAGACAAAAATTTGTACACCTATGAAGAACGGCTCGAGTTAGTGGGTCTAAAATCATTGGAGTCGCGACGGAAAAATGCCATAGTTGTCTTCGGCTATAAAGTATTTAATAATCTAATTCATTCTCCTGAAATATTAAGTTCGTTTCGAATAAGAGTACCTAACCATCTTATCCGGGATCCTATACTATTTGAAATCGACTCACACCGGAACTACGGAACCCACGGTCCTTTTACTAGAGTGGCACGTGCTTTAAATTCTTTACCATCTGCCATCGACATCTTTAACATTTTATTAAATAGGTTTAAACGGGAGTTTAGGTATTAAGTTGGGTTAAGTAGTCAGAGTGTGTATTTTTGGTTCAATATTTTTTCTAGATATTTGTACGTTATGTATGTAAATAGTTATTTTCAGTTGGATCTTTTGTTAGATGTTGTGTTTTTCAAATTTCTAAAATTGCCTGTATGGTGTAAACTGTTTTTTTTTTGGCAATAAACTAAACTAAACTAAACTAAACTTCGCGAAGTACTACGGCATTCTTTAAAGGTGGTTTTTAGAGTGCGTTGTTTGGGCTATTTTTTAGCGCCCACATTTTCTAGTTAGAGAGTTTATTGCTCATCTGTGTGGTCGGAAATAGTTTTGTTTGTCCCATCATCTCTGAAAATTTATGCGTCTGGATATTTTCTCCCATCTTGGAGCTTTTTAATTTGAACTTGGCGTACTTAATATTACTAATTAGAATGGGCGATTTTACGAGTGCGCGAATTTGGAATTTTATTACAGGAATTTGGTGTTGTCTTCAGGAAAAATGGGATTTTCATTTATTGAATGACTGAAAAAATATACAGCAAGTTTGGGTTTGTAAGGTCGACTTACATTTTAAAAATGACCATTACTCAAAATGGATGTGAGTAAAGTTTTTGAAAGTGGTAAAAATTTTACTAGTGCGTTAAATTATGAAATTCAGTATAAAACTGAGTTAAAAGAGAGAACAAAACACGTTGTTAAATATGCAGCAGAAAATAATATTATATGAGACGAAAAGTATTTTGTTCAAAGTTTATTTTAATATCCAGTAGAGCAACACGTATTTTTAAGTATACTTTAAGAAGAACTCCCTCTGTCCCAAATTAAGTGTCCGATTTGGAAATAAATTTTGGCCCAAAAATAAGTGTGCGATTTGTAAAAAAAAAATTGTCTTTTCTAATAAAGGGAAAAATGTATTTTTTAATAAAAAATTATTATTATCATTATTATTAATATTAATATTATAAATATACAGAGTGTTTCAGAAATAAGTACATTAATTTTAACTAGTGACAGAACTCGTGAAACGGAACAACTTTTTTATATAGCATTTTTTTGAAAACTCAAGTCGAATTTAGTATTAATTTAATTTTTTTTTTCAGTATTTAACATTCTGAACCTTCATCTGTCATTTTGACGATAACTTTTCTTCTATGATAATATGCTATACTTAGAAGCGCCATCATATGAAAATACGATCTTAGAATAGATAAGTTGATGCAGTTCTATTCATTAGTGTATTTCAAGTCACCTACGCTACCAATCCATCACGCCTAGTCACAATAGTATAGATAAATCAATTGATGTCTATACTGTGTCCTGGTTTTAGGATCGTCGACCATATGACTCATACAGATTACACGATAAAATGTACTTACTGATGAGAATTGATTAACCAATGGTCTACATTAAGATGTTTTGTACTTTTTTATTCAATTCGTAGGGTTGTGTCATTATATGAGAATTTTTATTACTGAAGTAGTTATTACTTTCAAACTTTCAAGCTCCTTTACTGGCACACTAGACGGAGGGAGGGTAGATGGTGGAAGGCATACTGAAGACGACCGACAGATAGTTAGTAGACACTTGACGAAATCCACAGACACATATAGAAAAAAAGACGACAGAATACATAAATAGTCAAAGATAACATACATTTTACAGACAGACAATAATATTCTAAAGCACGCTGTTGTCACCATTATGAAAAAAATGGTACCAAAATCAACCGATCTTCTCCAAAGTGTTTGAAAAATTATCTGAGGAAGGCTGTTATAGATATAGCTAAATTATTTCAAATAACATTTTATTTACGACACAATTTTAAAATAATAAAGATTGCAGGAACGGAGTAAGTACCTACGTATCAGAGGGTACTTACGGTCCTACGAAGCGGGACGGTGGTCACCCGTCTTATCAAAGCAGCAAAAAATTATGATTAGGGAGATTATTAGAATGCAACTGGTACGGTGAATAAATCAAGTGAGCAAGTCAGTGTACTCACTCTGTAGACTTCAGCGGTCTTTTTCTTTGTAAAACAAATCGTAAGAAAACCCCACATCGAATGTATACTCTCCAAAGACTCTTCTCCCTTTTTTTTTCTCGTCGCCGAAGCGGCCCGCTCACTGTGGTATATGATGGCTGTGAAAAGTGTCACACCGTCTGAAGACAAGACAAACAAGACCAGATAGACCTAACAGACATGGGGCAAAAAGACCGAACAGGCATGGTACAAGAAGACATGGTATGATATTGCGCATTTGTGTGACGTCATATCACTCTCATGACCGCCAACTTTAAATTGTGGCTTGTTGCATGTTCGTATTATCATTATTGACAAACGATGTCAAATTTTGAACACATTTCATATAAACTGACATTTGAGAGCTTTCGAAGTTGTAAGAAGAGAGAAAATTCATCCACCGGAGTAGCACACCATGTCTTCTTGTACCATGCGAGCAGGTAAACAGACAGATCAGACAGTCAGACGGGAGAAAAAGACCGACCAGATAGATAGGCACACGTAACAGAGAGCACCGTGAAGTCGACATTATTGTTTTGAAAAAGAGATTATATTAATCTCAAATCTGCCTGTTTATCGAACAGGTCAGGCCCACCAGAAGCGTCAACTGACACGAGAGCAAGGTTACATTTGGATCATCAGCTGTTTATACGTGGACCTTGCCACTTCGTAGCTGACTGCATAAGTGGAAAAGGCTTTTGACAGTTAACTGAAGTTAGTGCTTTGGAATGTCCCTTCATCACAAGCTCCATTTTATCAAATGACATTTTCAGAACTGAAAATACGAATATAATTTAAGTCCTTGGTAAATGTTAAAAAATCTTGTTTTCATTTTGTTTGTACATCATTTTCTAGTGTCCAAAGTTTGATCAAAAAAGTATTATATTTAAAACTGCTATCACCACAATGTGTTTTTGTTAAACTTGTCAGTAGAATTATCGTCATCCTTTATTTTATTTTCATTAATGCTTTTATTAGTATGGAAACATCATATCTTAAAAAATTAACCATTAATTTCCTTATCAAGACAGACAATACCATTCGTTTTAGTTTAATAGCAGTATAAATTTCAACTTTGCTTATAAATATCCAGTTTACGTCAAACTCGAGGTCAAGGTATTTGGAAACAAAAAAACCATGCATTTTGGTTATTTGTTTTAGATTTCTGCACGCTTCACAGTTGTTAAAAGAATATTTACAATGGCAAGTGAAATAAAGTCTGTGTTGAAAGATATTCTAACAATAAACATAGATGACTATTCTCTTGAAGGGTTAGAAAGTCCCGAAAAAGGTGACGGCTACATGAGTGACATATTATTTATTACCTTAACGCCACCCAGAAGCAAACAATCTAAAAAGTACGAATTGGTTTGGAAGTGTGGTAAAAAAAGCAAAGTGTTACGGGCAACGACTCCCGTAAGGCAAACATTTATGACGGAAATATTCTTTTACGATAAAATAATCCCCACATTTACACAGTTTCAACTAGAAAAAGGGATTCGTGATGCTTTCAACAGTGTTCCAAAGTGTTACGGAACATTTATTGCTGAGGAGATGGAAGTAATTGTTCTCAAAAATTTGAAAAGGAGCGGCTATAACTTATGGGATAAGAAAAAGCCGTTAACGAAAAAACACATCGAGTTAATACTAGAAGAATATGCAAAATTGCATTCCGTTTCAGTTGCTATGAGTGAGCAAGATCCAGAAAAATTTGCAGAATTAAGGGAGGGTTTGGGCGAAACGTTGAAAGAGTTTACCAAAGCAAACGACATGAATGCACTTTTTGGTACAAATATAATAGAACTATATGATTTACTTAAAGGTGATCTGGATGAACGTACGTTAGAAACGTGGAAAGGTTTATATGATCAAACGTATTTCATTCTCGATGGGATGGTAGACAAAAAGGAGGGATTAAAAGTGGTTGTCCATGGTGACTCCTGGTGCAACAATTTCATGTTTAAATATGTAAGCTAAAAACGAAGTATATAACCATTTCTTATTTTTGATTGTAGAATGACGACGAAACTTCACCAGTGAATGTTGTTATGTTTGACTGGCAAATTTCAACAGTTTCATCACCAATTTTTGATCTGTCGTATCTTATTTTTGCTGGCATATCAAATGAAGATGTAGAATGTATTAACGATCTTTTAAATCGTTATTATGAGCAACTAAAATTCTACTCGAGTCGGCTCGGTACAAGTTTGGATAAGTTGTATACAAAGGAGCAGTTTCTAGGTGAATGGAAAAAATATTCCAAGTATGGTATCATTTTTGCGTGTTTGGTACACAAAATATGCGTCACTGAAAAAGATGAAGTTATTGATGTAGCTAATGCTGCTGATGGTGGCAAAGATTTTTCTAACGCGTTTTGTTATGATGTTAAAAATAAAACTGCTTTTAAAAATAGGTCAAGACATGTTGTAAAGTACGTAGTAGAAAATCAGTTAGTTTAATTAAGTGCAGAATATAGATGAGTAATAATATTGCTGTAATAAACATGGGTGTTTGCACAAAGTTACTACATTTTATTGAACCTTGATTGTAATAAAGAGATTCTGGAGACAGTCCCTATTTGTCAAAATACATAAAACTTTTTTTATATTTAACAACTCAAAGTTCAATGTTATCATTTTGACTAAAACGTTTATGCCATAATCTTTGCCATTTCGATTGAAAAACCACTTGTTAATCGTAAATTTGGCAACGTTTGTATTCAGACAATTTTCTAACTACAAACCGTTGTCAATCAACCGGAAGCTGTTACCAATTGCTAAATTTTAAGCAAAATCAACAGGTGGTGTTTCAATAGAAATGACAAAGATAATACCTAAACTAATCTGATTATGATTGTATTAAGTACCTCTCATATATTAATTACATAAATTAAAGTTTTTTCGTGTTTTTTTTGTCTTCTCTCCACTCCAATCCAGCTACACTTTCGATTGATAATTCTTTCTGCATTTTTTCTTTTTCTTTTAGCTTCACATATTTCTGTGTAAGAAGATGTAAATTCTCTCCCCACACAGTCGGTGTAACAATCATTTTTTTGGTTGATATTAGTCGTTAGTAGTTATTCCACTAAATTGTGGTAAATAATTTCACCTTTGTACCAAGATTGCTTAATATTTTTTGTCCTCGACCTGAACATTTATGTGTCTTGCTTTCATCGACATTCTCATACTTGTTTTATTTTGGTAATTTCAACACTTGCATATCCTCCTTGTTATAAGATTTTTCCTTGTTTTCCCCACATTTCACTCTCTGTTTTTTGCTGCGTCCAGCGACAAATATTCCTTCAAACACCATTCCTCATTTGTCTGCATCTGTCCCTATCTGTTTCAGTTTCAATTCCTTCCTTAGTGTCATGTCACAGTTTCTCGATTTATTGCTAGCATTCGTTGTATGTACTTTACTGATTTTTTTTCTGTCTTCCCTATACTCCTTTGAAAACCGTGACTTTTGGTTTTTGCATTCGTATGTGTTTCCAGGCAACCGATGTTCTTTTTGTAGTGTTCCAGCGATTGCTAACTCTATTTTTGATACTTGTACATTGATTACCTTCTTTTTGCCAGTACCTACTAAGCAAGAAAACTTACTACCCACTGTTTTTTCATGAGTATGCTGTTTCTATAGCGTTAATAAAAAATTCTTATTTATTTACCTATAAACTCTCCAAACTTGTTCTATAACTTTTTTTTTATTTGTTCTTTGTATCTGTTCTGCCTCCTTTTTTTACAATATCACATTTTATAAATTATTTTCCGTCTTTGTAGTATATTTACTTGTGTTGTGTCTGTAAATAAAAATAAGAAATCACAAAGTTCCTTGATGGCAACTTATTCTGATTAACCCTTGTCTGGAGAGACTGTGTTTGGTTCTTATTCGTTGAAAATAAATAAGTGGACTGTATTTTTACTTTGTTTTATTCCTTCGATGGTGACATTGCAACGATCCGACTTACACTAATAATGTCCACACAAAAATGACATGATAGGGGGGAAATAGTCCGTCCAAACCCCGCCGCCAGAGGTGGTGCGAACCGCACTTCAGACGGCGGCCGCCATACAAGGTTGAGGGTCCGCACACGTGCAACTGCCTTACAAAGACACCGCCAACACGTGGAGGCCGCACCGACAAAATATAAAAAATGTCTTAAGGTGGTATCACTCAGAATTGTCACACAACAGTTGAGCATAAATAACTCTTCACGTAGTCCAAACACTCTCTAGTGTTCTCTAGTCACTTTTCAAATATCTTAACGACTGCTACTGCTATCGTTGTTCCGTGCGTGTAGGAGGTATAATGTTGTCGCTCTTTCAAAATGACCGCATCAAATAACGGTAGACGCTTAGCGAGGTTTTAATGAAAATTGGTCTGGACCACTGGAAGAGGGTGGAGCGTTGTGCATGCTGCATCCGAAATTCCGCGTGAATCACAAATGCAACCTTTCACAGTTTTTATGATAACGCTGAATTTTGTAATTTAATCTATAGGTAATATTGCAAATGAAACCCTTGCTATGGAACAGAAGTAGTATAATAAATAATATAAACATTTTGTGTACCCCAGTTATAATAAAACAATGAGTATTAAATTACAATTATAATATATCTATCAAAACATTAATTTTATAATTTAATTTCTTAAATTATGCATTTTTTTGTAATTTAAGTGAATTCGATCGATAAAAGTACCTAACAGAATAATTAACAAAAACAACTATTACAATAAATTATTTAAAAATACAGAGTACATACATCACTAATTGCAAGTGTCACATTTCCTAGACACCGAAAACAGAAAAGAACAACAATAAAACATTTATTACTCAGAAAAGTCTAAGTAATAAGTGAATATACTTATATAAAACTGTTAGAACAGTATTTATTTAAACTTTGGTCTAAACTTGTTTAGACAGAACATACCGCGCTCTTGAAGCAAAGTATAACATATTTAGCTTTGTTGAAAAAGTGTAAAGATTTGATTTTGCATATCCTAAATCATGAAACGTTGAGAAAACAAAATTAGAAATTCGTGCGATGGACCCTATTACAATACTTTCCTAGCTTATGCTTGAGAAGAAAGAAACAACAATAACTGTAACAAACAATACATAATTCAGACATAAAATTTAGGATAAAGAATTTCTTATTCTCTCTGCCTCCAAATATAAAAAGTTAACTTTTATGGTCATCCTTAATTAATTCCTTTAGATAAAAATTGAAAAAAAAATCTTTTAATTTCTGATGCATTTTTTCTTTATAAAATGTTTCGTCTCTGGAAATTTCTTCGTATAAAACTCCTTTCGGTGTCCAAAAAACAAAGAAGCAACTTTTTTTATTAGAAACATAGAGTTGTCCTTGAACTTGATAAAAGTAGCTATGATTGCGTTTGAGTTTGAATTTATTATTTACTATTGTTGCAAAGTCTACTTTTTTTTGATTAATGGCTTCTTCAGGAGTGAGAAATCTGGCTGCATAAGGGCATTTTATCTCTAAAAGTGTATTTTCACCAATTATGCCATCTGGAGAGGCACCTAAATAATTGTCGGTTGGATGAATATATAATCCACATGGACGAATTTTTTCTTTTAAAATAGATTCCATGTCCCGTCGAGCTATTACTTCATTATCTACTCCATATCTGGTACTCGTATTGCCTCTAAATCCTGTCAAAATGGACCTACTAACTTTTAAACAATCTGTCTGAGGCCGAAGTTTACATATCCGACCGAATGCAGAAGCTGTAAGACGGATTCGTCTTTCTTCATGCCACAATGTGCAGCTTGATTGTTCCTTGGTAGAAGCTTCAAACTGATTAATTTCTTCTATAGTTTTGCATAATCTATGTATATAACGTTGTTTTAATTCATCTGAGATCTCCGTGTCCATTATGTGAGGATCCAATCCATAATCTGCATCCGCAGTTGCTTTATCTAGAGATCTTTTTGCGTTTCTTTTCTCTCGGTTATAAAGAAGACGTTTTCGACATAAAACTGCTTTTCGTTTATCCACAAACCTTTTTGTGTGCACTCCAGGACTTCTGTGTGTTATGGCTTGGTGAATCTTTGAAAGATATTCACCTTGCGAATTCCACGAATAACCAGCTGCAAAACACCTTAGACTGTATCCTCCTCTTCTCGTGAAATCAACTCTTTTACCTCCAATAAATTTTGCTAAGACAGAGTTATAATTTTCGAAAGCATTGTTTGTCATGTTTTTCAAAAGGCTGCTGCTGTTATTAACCAATCTGTTTAAGTGGATTATAATCTCATTATATAAGCCACATTGTTCCAACTCCGGGATAAAATTTTTTTCTTTGTCTTTGGAACCATTACAAAAGTATGTATCGCATTGTTCATGATTACCAAAGACATGGTGAATACTATTCAGAATATCTTTTTTCAAAAATGCATTCTGCTCTTCTGACGTATTTTCATTAGTAGATCTCCTGTATTTAATTGCACAACAGATAGCTAGTCTCAGCCTTTCAATATTATTTTTCAACATTTGCCTTAACAACATTGGGATTTGGCAACCTTTGGAACTAAACCGTTTTTGGTGTAGAACTCGTAACTGACTGACGAAGTTCCTTAACAAGTGGTTGGAACATTCTATTTTCTTTACTGGAAACGGACCATATGGTCGTTCTTTCACAATTTTGGAATAAACACTACTGTCACCGTCAGCCACCAAAAATCCATATTTTAGACCATGCATTGTCATACTTTGTTTGAAACCTTCAAGTATAATGTCACTTTCCATAGAAGTGGAAGATCCGTTCCAGTTTTTAAAACAAAGATGATTTTTGTTTGTTCCATTGTGACATGTCGTACAGTATTTATTTCTTATCCCTAAAAATAATAATTTTCCTGTTCGTTGTCCAACAATACATGCTGCACCCGATTTTGAATTATAGTTGCTACGATAAGAACGCTTAGCCCATGATCCATCCGCTACAACCGTAATGACGGGTACTCCAGTATCATCTATTTCTCCAGCTTCTTTTGCCAAAAAACTTTCTTCTTGTCCTGCCTGAAGCATTGAATTCCAGCATTCCTCTTGGAAAATTTCTTGGAAATTTTCTTCTAATTTCCGAAATTTGTTGTACGACATGCACGGAATATTTAAAGTGCTAGAAAATTCTTGCAACTGTGAGTATCCACAACCGGTATTAATTGTTCCCAGCACTGCACTACCGTTCGTATTCATTTTGCCATCGGGTTTATCACTATAAACACAGTGACGTTGAGCACACATTTTACATTTCAACTCAAACGTCGACACAAACCCATCCCTAATTTCTTTGATGACTTCTATATCATTTGCACCACAAGAAAAAAGATCCAGATGTGGAAAAGTGAATAACTGCTGAAAAAAAAATTGTATATCAACAATTCTTTTCCCATCGAGAATATTTCTGAAATTAAATAAGTGTGAGACAATGTAGTAAAGTCTAATGATTAGTCTAATTACTTTTTGTTCATGGTGGTGTCGTTTTCTATTTCCATAGAGTCACTTGCGTTAGTTTCGATTTCAGTTTTCGAACGATCCTCACAATAAGTCTCGTCGTCTATGCTTTTCCTGGAAAAACCATGGGTAAATTTACCTTGCTGACTACTGTACTAGTGTTTAATAGTTTATAAATATAATTACTTGTTCTGTATGGTGCTGTTGTTTCCAATTTCCATAAAATCACCAACGTTACTTTCAATTTCGTTGCCAATGTCACTGGTTCCGCTTGGTATACTTATTCTAAACATGAAATGGAAAATTTGTAACAAAAAATTACGCAATGTTGGCAAGATTTGATACCTTTCAGCAGTTATTTTCAACTCATTTCTTATACCTCTCCGTTTGTCCCATCTGTTGACAAAAATGTAGTGTTATTTG